TCATTATCTTGCCCATGTAATTGTAACCCCTTTGTACAGTATTTTCACAATAATAAAAAAATATTCCTTTGAATTTGGTTATTTCAAGCTTTTATTATAATATTTCAATAGGTGAGAGAGATTATAAGCAAATGAGTACTATGGTTACTAGCTGTAATTGTCAAAAGCCCCCTTATAATTTGTATGCTGTGTACAGGAGTACAAGAGGAGAGACAGTTTCTGTGGGCAGTGGTAAAGAATTTCAGAGGAAAGTAGAACTTGGAGAAGTGGCTAGAGGGAGAACTTTGTAAGAGGGGCAGTGTGCTGATAAAATTAAGAAGAGGAGAGTATCAGTGGGCTTGTGAAGATAAATGAGGGAGGAGACATATTTTGTGAAGAATAGAGAAAAATGCAGGTTTTAGAGCTAGAGCATTCCTTGCATACATTCTGGCTCTTCTGCTTTTATGCTAAATGTCCTTAGGCATATTATTTCATCTCTATGAGCCTCAGTTTTTGTCTTTTATAAGGATAGCACTTCTACCTTGATGGGCTACCAAGTTAGATAATATAGGTAGATTCTTTAATAGTGCTCCTGGCAAATAGTTGATCAGATATTCTCAACCTTTTGTTGCCTACATACAACTAATAGTAGTCAGAATATTGTCATTCCTATGACTGGCTCTAAGGTGCTACTCTGTTTTAATTAAGCCTGTGTCATATCAAATATGGGAAGCTTAACTACTTTAATAAATGTCAGCTAAGTCATCCATGTGCTTTTCTTTCAGCATCATTTTTTTTTTTTTTTGGTTAGTCATGGGACTTGAACTCTGGGCCTAGGTGCGTCCCTCAGCTCTTCAGCTCAAAGCTAACGCTCTACCACTTGAGCCACAGCGCTGCTTCCGGTTTTCTGATGGTTTATTGAAGATAAGAATCTCAAGGACGTTCCTGCTTTGGCTGGCTTTGAACCTTGATCTGTAGATCTCAGGCTCCTGAGTAGCTAGGATAACTGGTGTGAGCCACCAGTGCCCGGTTTCAGCATCATTTTATTTAATTTTTTACTGGTCTGTTTCACGTGGAAAGGAAGAGTTAAGACTTTTTAAATTCCCTTGTATTTTCTTTTTGATTTTCCTTCTTTCATTTTATCTTGTAGTGAGCATTGTGTGCTGACTTGGACAGAAAAAGGAATTTATATTTTTATTCCTCAGAACGTTCAAGTTCTCCTTTGGAGTGAAGTCAAAGGTAATCATGTCTTTCTCATATAATTTTTTATATCATAATTGCTGGTGAAGCTTAATTAGTGTAGGAGGATTCACTTACAGTGTAGGAAATTGAAAATGCAGGAACAATAGTCATATGTGACTAAGAAAATCAGCCTCTATATCCTTTCAATTGCAAGCAGAAATGTGGGAATATAGCTTTTTAACTTTTTTTTTTTAACATGCTGTTAGATTGTTCATTGACTTTTAGAGTATTTTCCAACTTTGTAAAAAGGAGGATAAAAGAAAGAAAATTTCTTGCTGGTTTTCTCAATGCTGATTTCTGGTGGATTAAATTCTTTAAGTATGTCCCTTGAAAACTAGGTTGTTAAGTCTCTTCAAGATGTTCTGCCAGGGGTGGTGGCTCAGTGGTAGAGTGCTTGCCTTGCATGCATGAAGCCCTGAGTTTGATTCCTCAGCACCACATAAACAAAAAGCTGGAAGTAGCTCTGTGGCTCAAGTGGTAGAGCGCTAGCCTTGAGCTGAAGAGCTGAGGGACGGTGCCCAGGCCCAGAGTTCAGGACTCACAACTGACAAAAAAAAAAAAAAAGAGATGTTCTGCCAAAGCCAGGCTTGTTTGTGGGTCCACAGAAATTGGGAGGCCAAAGCAGGAGAACTGCAGGATCTGGGACAGCCTGGACTATATAACAATACCTTGTCTCAAAGAACAAACAGAAAAGCCAATATCAAAACCAAGATGTTCTGCTGAAACAGATACTTTCAAGACAGATACTTTTTGATGAATTATTTGTTGATTTACGTGCTTGGTTAAAATGCATTCACAGAGCATCAAATTGTAAATCTTAGAAACATTAGATCTAGCCCCTAATAAGGATTACCCTCTTTTTTTTTTTTTTTTTTGGTCTGGTCGTGGGGCCTGAACTCTGGGCCTGGGCGCTGTCCCTCAGCTCTTCAGCTCAAGGCTAGCACTCCACCACTTGAGCCACAGCACCACTTCCGGCTTTTTTTCTTTTTGCTTATATGGTGCTGAGGAATCGAACCCAGGACCTCAGGCATGCAAGGCAAGCGCTCTACCACTGAGCCACCTTCCCAGCCCCTCACAGGTTATTTTTAAGATAAGGTCTTACTTTCTTCTCAGGTGTGTGCCTAATCTTCATAACACATGCTTTAAGGATTCCTGCTCTTTCTGGGATCACAGGTACATGCCAACATGTCCACATTCCCTTCTTTTGAGATTCCTGCCTGGGCTAGCCTTTCACTATGATCCTCTCAATCTCAACTTCCCATGTAGCTTGAGATGACAGATACATGCCACTGTATCCAGCTATATGTTGAGAAGAGGTCTTTCAAAACTTTTCTGCCCAGGTTGGCCTTGAACCACAAACCTCCTGTTCTTAGCCCCCCAGGTAGCTAGGATTGTAGACATGATCTACTGCTATTCAGCTTAACTTGATTGCTTATCTTTATTAGCCCTGATATATGACTGAGGTTTGGTAATACATCCCAAAAGAAATCATGTCAGATACATTTAGAGGTGAGGAGGGTCGTAAGGAGTTTATACTTACAGTTTTTAAGACAATATCGAATCTGTTCAGAAATTCGTTTGAGTTTTAGATCATGTTTTTAAGGAGTTGGTTGTGTAGATGGTAACTAAGAGCTAAATTCTTAATTCCTAAGAGAATTCTGATTAATTTTTTGATAGCTTATCTAAGCCTTTTCAGAGCACCTGTGAAGGTTTTTAAATTTTATTTTCTTTATTATTACTTTTTTTTTTTGGTACAGGTACTGGAGCTTTGATTCTGGACCTTGTAGTTTTGCTTGGCTTTTTTATTCATGGTTGGTACTTTAACACTAAAGCCATGCCTCCATTCCAGCATTTTGTTGGTTATTTTGAAGACATAGTGTTGAGGATTTTTCTGTTTGGGCTGGCTTCCAACCATAATTCTCAAATCTCAGGCTCCTGAGTAGCTAGGATACAAGCATGAGCCAGCTTGTGAAGATTTATTATATGTTAGGCTTCTTTCAACATTTTGGACATTTTAATATAGATTTAGTTACAGACATTAAGCTATCTCACTGTTTGGTTCTTCTTTTTGCTTAACCTTTAATTAGGCAAGAAAAACCTTGTCTGTAGATAAATTGGATCATTTGAAATCTCAGCTGGATCTTGCAACCTGTAGTGATCTAATTTCTCAATTGGAGGAACTGATCTTAAAATGTGAACCTTTGGATTCAGCCTGCAGCAGTAGAAGAAGCTCCATTTCATCACATGTAAGTTTTCTTTCTTTCTTTCTTGGGCTTGAACTCAGGACCTCATGCTTGCTTGGTTTGCTTGCTTGGCTGGTACAATACCACTTGAGCCATGCCTGTAGCCCAACTTTTGCTAGTTATTTTGGTGATGGACTTTTTTCTGCTTGGACTGGCTTGTAACCAACATCTGGCTCTCAACCAGTGGTTATAGGTGTAAGCCACCGGCGCCTAGCTATATTCGTGTTTTGAAAAGATTTTTGTTATAGAATAAGATTGTTTCACCTTAGACTATAGTTATACATCTCTAGTATCTCAAAACTTGTCTTCCCCCCACCCCCATATAGTACATTTTAAAAAAAGCAGAAAACAGTGTGTTAGTTTTCTATCACATTGGCAAAATACCTAAGAAACAATTTATAAGGAAGAAAGGCTGATTTGGGCTTACAATTTCAGAGGGGTCATTTATGGCTCATTGGGAGCATTAGTGTGGAATTTTGGCAAGATAGAACATCATAGTGGAAAAATTGCTCACCTCATGACAGCCGGGAAGTAGCGATAGGAAGGGGCTGGGGTCCCAAATACACTTTCAGTGACCTAACTTCCTGCATCTAAGGGTCTCCTAAAAGTTTTACTCTCTCCAAGTAGTGCCATAGGTTAAGGACAGTCTTCAACAAATGGGCCTTTGGGGGACATTCAAGACCCAAACTATAGCAGAATTTCTTTCAGGTATTGAATAACTGTTGGAAATTTAGGTGTTTCTTGAAGCTCCCTTTCGTTTGGTTAGTGTTTATTATTTACTTACATAGCTTCCATACAAGTTAGTTTTCTCCTAATTCATAATAGACACTTCATGTCATTTGAGTCTCATTGCAACTCAGGTTTGATCTCATTACTCATCATTCTTAACTCCATGCTCTCTGAAGACAAGTTGGAGAAATACTGTGATACCACTAGCATGTTTCTAGTTTCCAGGTGCTTAAAATTTTTCACCAGTTTGTTCTAATAAGACATAATCATGTTACTTACTGACTTTGCACTTTAGTGTTGGGATTCTCTGAAAAGCCACATTGTACTCTAAAGGATAACTTTAATTATTTTGTGAATTCTTTTTATTTTTAGGAAAGTTTTAGCATCTTGGACTCTGGTATTTATCGAGTCATTAGTAGCAGAAGAGGTAGTCAGTCAGATGAAGACACTTGCTCCCTTCATAGCCAGACCTTCTCAGAAGACGAGAGACTTAAAGAATTCACTTCACACCATGAAGAGGACCAGCTGGATCAGGGTTGTGGCCCACATGGAAATGAAGGTGATGAATATGTCTTTTGTTGCTGGAAGTGACAAGCAGTTATTTTCTACAAGTTCTGAGTACCAGGATTGTCTTGTGGATAGAGTCTCTATGAAGTGTGAATAATTTTTAGCTAATTGATAGGCTTTCCATCCAGACCATTAGAAGGGTAGGGAGCTTATATTTAGTTTTTCTTTGTTTTTTAACCTTATCTTTTTAGTAATGTTTGTAAAGTACTTAATTTTGATCTTATCAAAATGCTGAAGAGGTAAAGGAAGAAGATTATTAACAAAAAGAATGGAAAGATTTTATTTTCACTAACCAAATTATTTTCCATCAGGAATTGAAAAATTGCTACAGTTTTGGGGGCCATTGCCTTCTCTTTTCAATGTTCCAGTATTCCTGTGACTGAACTGTTGAGAAGAAATTAATAGAGATTGTAAACTTCCTTTTTGATTCAGGGTTAGTAGGCAACTGAAGGTACCCACCTAAGTGTTTTACGTGGACCATCCCATTCCTTTTGTAAACCCGTGTTCACGCTCATTTGTATTTGAGTCAGTTGTGATTTTGGTATTGAATATTTTCATTTCCTTTGGCTTACTCATTTTAGAATTCCTTTAAGGTTTTTTAAAAAACTTCCATGTAATTACCTTTTTTTTCCTCCACCCCATTCTGTTCATTAGACAATGTTTCTCACAGTCCAGTGACATTTGAGACAGAAAAGAATGAAACTTTTCTTCCCTTCGGCATTCCATTATCATTTCGTTCTCCATCTCCTCTTGTGTCTCTTCAGGCTGTCAAAGAAAGGTAAACAAACCAATTAATTAGTCTTAACACTTAATTCCATTTCTGGTTTTACTTCCCTTATCACATTAGGCGCTTTGTGGTAGGATAGAAAGATCTTTTAAGTTATTTCTTTAGTTATTTCTTCCCATGGCCTATTAAAGTGAAGCTGTTGACTTCTCATTTTGAACCTCAGGGAACTGAGGGTTTCTCTTTGTTTGAGTAGCCAAGTGTGTAAGTGGTATGTGAAACCCACTTCTCCCAGACAGAAAAACATTTAGAAATCTATTTTTCCTTCATCACTAGTAGAACTGTTTGTTTGTGTTATTAGTCATTTCTTAATCCATTCTCAGTGTCAGATCAGAATTGGAGATTTTTCAGAATTTTTTTCTACTTGCTCCATGGAATCAGTGCTGGCATTTAAGTGTGAGAGATAAGACTTTTATGTAGTTACTTAAATGCTTATCACTGTCTTACTGGATACAATTTTTCATTTGGTCTTGAAGGGTATGTTGTGAATAGTTGGGAACTAAGTTTCATGAACAAATTCTTTGCTATTCTATTGTTGTTAGGAATTACGATCATATGACTTAATTTGCCCAAGTTGATGGACATCTTACAGACACAACAGAGTTAGAGACTTCTTTAACCTGACTTATTGGTTTCTCAGAACATTTTCCTAAGCAAAGTGAATCACTGTATTGTAAGTGTATTATGGACCTTGTGTGAACTATATATTTGATTACAGGCGTTCCTATTATTATTATTGCGTGGCTTATACCAGTAATCTTAGCTACTCAGGAAGCTGAGATCTGAGGATCACAGCCAGGCAGGAAAGTCCATGAGACTCTTACCTCCAATTCATTACTGAAAAGATAGAAGTAGAGCCATGGCTCAAGTGATGGAGTGCTAGCTTTGATCAAAAAAGCTTAGGAATAGTGCCCAGGCACTGAGTTCAGGCCCTGGGTCTGGTACCAAAAAAACAAAACAAAAGTATGAGTTTTTTGTTTAAGTCCAAGCTGACTTCCTAGAACTGATAGGAAGTCAGGTACTAAAGTTTTTATTCTTGGCAGTAATTTTTGTTTGCATTCGTATTTTGGTATTTGCTTTCAGTGTTTCTAGCTTTGTACGTAAAACTACTGAGAAGATTGGCACCCTTCATACAAGCCCAGAGCTTAAAGAGATACCAGGGCCCAAAGACGAGGATCAACCATGTGAGGAGGAAGTAAGCTCAGTTGCCTGCCCACAGGAGAACAATACTGAGTAAGCTCTTGCATGTGAACCTGTGTTAAGTGGTAGGGGAACTCAATTGAAAGAAAGCCATAGGCTGAGACTGTCCTGCTGGAGAAAGCACAGGGATGGTCTGTTACTGAAGGCTGTTGTGTAGCTTATAAATATTGTGAATTCCACAGATTAAAAAATCTTTTGAGCCGGGTGCTGGTGGCTCACACTATAATCCTATAATCCTGGCCTATAATCCTAGCAACTCAGGAGGCTGAGATCTGAGGATCGAGGTTCAAAGCCAGCCCAGGCAGGAGAGACCATGAGACTCCTATCTCCAATAAACCACCAGAAACCGGAAGTGGCGCTGTAGCTCAAGTGGTAGAGCGCTCGCCTTGAGCTGAAGAGCTGAGGGACAGCGCCCAGGCCCAGAGTTCAAGCCCATGACTGACAAAACAGCAACAACAACAACAACATCTTTTGAATGAGTTTTAGCGTGGTACCTCTTCCATCTTTCTCCTGTGCTAGACGCCCCCCTTTCTTGTATTTCATCAAATTTCTGGGATATAAGAGTTGTTTTAAGAAAAAGTAGGATGACTACAGAATTAGACCTTGTTTTTCCTCTGCTCCTAATTGGCATATAACTGAATAAGTCATTAATGCTCTCAAGCTTAAAAGATCTAGGTTGCACTATTGCTTGATGAGTCAAAAGAGGGAATGTTTGATAAAGATAATTTGAGAAAGAAAAAAGAAACTCTTTAGGCAATGTAACCTGAAGTACAATACTTGCCACGTAATAAGAGTGTAATGTATTTGTCTGGGAAAGCTCTGACGTCTTCTAACCTGGTATTTTTATTTTTTATACTTTTCTAGGGAAACAAAAGAGAAAACTAGTCAACCATCAGAAGACAGGTTTCAAGAGCTCACATCAGCCACAGCAGAAGCAATGTGAGTGTGAGTGAGAATTTTATAGCAAATGGGGGTTGTTTTCAGATCTCAACTATCATTGTCCTGAGGTGGCCTCGTTTGCCATTGAAATTCAAGAATTAGTAACATACTGAAGTCAGTGTTCTCTGTTGTGTTATCTTGCTGACATACTTGTTATCTAGAGTTTAAAAGTTACATACTGGATGAACTTATTTTTATCAGTTAAGTTCCTTTAATATAAAATAATTTGTTTTGTAAAAATACATGAAATATATTAATTTCATGCTTCCTTGTTTCGTATAGAACCAAGCTACAGGAACCTCTGGTTTTATTTGAACCGAAGACTTTGAGGATGGTTTTACGGGATTGGCTTTCACATTTAGAAAAAACATTTGCTGTTAAAGACTTTGCAGGCATTTCAGATACTGGCAATTTACTTGTGGAATCAAACCAGAGCATGCTACTGCTTTGTGAGTCACAAAAGGGAAGAATAGATGAAGATAATGAAGAAGAAAAAAGGGAGTGCTTAGGTGTTGAAGAAACTGTTGGTCAAATAGCATGTGAGTCTGTAAGTAGTCTGAAGGAGCCATTGGATGACATTTTTCGAATATGTTCTCCATGTGCCATCCCAAACAGTCTTCAGAAGGATCTGGCTGAATTGATAACATTGTGTTTGGAGCTGAGTGTATTGAGTTCTACAGTCAAAAGCCCAGATGAATGTGTGGAACACATATTGCAACAGTGCTCTCCTGAAGTTCTGGCTTGCCAGTTCCTAAAGAAGTATTTTTTCCTCCTGGACTTGAAAAGAGCAAAGGAGAGTATCAAGCTTAGTTACACTAACAGCCCTTGTGTTTGGAATACTTTTATTGAAGGATTGAAAGGTAATAATCAGTTTGCTTTATCAAAGGTAAACATATTAAGGTAGAGGTAATGACATTTTAGAGCTTTAGGATTTTAAAAAAAGGAAAGTTGCCTCTGGTCAGCCCTCTATTTTAATTCAGTGTTTCTTCAAACCTTGGTTTAACTTGCAACTACTCTATTACAAGAAATTAGTTTCATTTTTCTTACAGCCACATTCAGGAAATGATACAGCAATACTAGAGCACTTGGGATTAAAGTGAAAAGTATGTAAATGAAGATATATGAAAGCAAGAAAACCCCTCATGTAATTTACTAACAGAAAATACATACTATATGTTGAATGTGCCATGTGCCATATAACATAATATGATAAACAGTTTTTCTGGTATCATGACCTCCTTACAAAAATCAGAGCACACAGGACTCTTCCATTTTACAGATGAGGAAACTGATTATTAGTTGCATAGGCTAAGTTGCTGTCATAAATATCTTACAGTGTAATAACTCAAATATAGTAGAAGAATGTATTTTTTGTTCATTTAATAGTCCAGGACAATTAGAATAAAATAATGGCATTCGCGGGGAAATGAGTGGAACTAGAACAAATCATGTTGAGCAAAATAAGCCATGATCAGAGAGACAAACAGCACATGATCTCCCTGATATACAAATGTTAAATTCAAATAAGAACAAAGTAAAAAGGACTCAGGAAACAAAGGACCTTTTCTTAATTTGTCATATTGTTTTTAGACGACTCTGTGTTCTTGACCCCATATATGGTATATACATATGCACATCTGAGAGAAGCTAGGGGGAAGGCACAGAATCAGAGGGAAACAGATGATAAAATACAGCAGAGGGGTCCATCAGCTGCACTGGACCAAGTGAACCAAGCAACTCAAGGACAGCGATTGGAGGGAGAGAATGAGCGAGAAAGAGGAAACAGCTTACACTAAGCAAAAGGAAAGAAATGTACATAGCACCCTATTTGGAAGAAATAGTTGTATTGTCAAAGTTTGTAGCGTTCATAAGCTTTATAGACCATGATAATGACAATTTGCCTTGTGTAGGTTAAAATGTGTTTGTGACTTTAGCTAAATTTCACTATTCCACAATATTGTAAAGTTTATGTAATACTTAGTCTCGATAAAGAAATTAAACAAAAAACAGTCCAGGACAGTGTTCCAGGTCAGTGAGCAGCTGTCTTCCATGTAGTAGCATTTCAAATTTCTTCTGCTACTGTAAGCTCCATTCTTCACAAGTTATCAAACTTGTGATTGAGGATGTCCCGCTGTGTTCAAGGGAAGGCACTAGAACATGCTCTTTGGTAGGCCCAGCCTAGTGTCTTCCCTTTTATCTGTCCACATTCTTTGGATTAGAATTCTTCCCCATAGTGCTTCCTAATTTCAGAGGAAACTGAAAAATGAAACCTGTTCATGTGTCCAGTAGGAAGGAAGAGATTAGGATTACAAATTAGAGGATAGCCTGGACTACATATCTTAAAAAACAAACCAAATGATAAATTTTAAAACAAAAAAAAATCCAATATACCTATCTATCCCAGTTGAATTTTAAGGCCCTTGAAAGTAGAAAATACATCTTGTTCCCCTTTTTGTATCTCTACTGCAATGCTTAACAGTGGACCTTGTATACCACAAGTGCATGACTAATGGACATTGAATGCCTATGTTCCTATATTGAATATTTGCAGCTGAAAGGTAAAGGAAAAGGCCATGCTTTATCTTTCAGAAATGGCAAGTTCTAATCCTACACATACGGAGATGGGAGAAGGAGACCTACCAACAAGATTAAAGTTGTTAGAAGCTTCAGTTCCTTTTGATAGTCCGCTGTTGATTGCTTATGCTTCCTGGTATGTTTTCCTAAATGTTCTTTATAGCAACTAAAGCACATGCATTTTCTTGTGTATTAGCCTCTACAGTTTTACTCATTTGCAAATTGGACAGCTTCATATTTGTATATTTTCATTTCTAGAGAGTACTTAACCAAGTTAGGTCACCCCACTGAAGTTGGTGACCAATGTGTTCTGTTTTCAAATGCAGGTTATATGAGAAGTTTGGGGAATCTGCCCTGCGATCCTTAGTCAGGTTCTATCCATCTATTTTGCCTTCAGATGTCATGCAGCTTTGTCATAAGCATCCTGTTCAGTTTTTGGCCTATTTAGACAATCTGGTGAAATCAAGGCCTGAAGATCAGAGGTGAGAAGGAGTGCATTTTCTCTCTTCCTTTTGATAGGGCATCGTTTCTCTTTCCTTAATAGTTGTCCCATTTTTCTCATTAACTATCACAAAGTTGGGTCACCTAGTGTGGATTTGTGGAACATGAGTCTTCTGTCATTCTGCCCCACTTCACAACACATATCACCAAGTATCATACTTCTTTATATCTTCCTCCTTCCTCAGATTCTAAGATCATCAGTGTAAAATAAAACCCTTGATTTAGAGCTGAGACTAAAAGAGATAAGCTTCTTCTTGTTTATGCAGTGAGGGCATCTGCTATCACCGTTTCATTGACATACCCCAGCCTTTTGTGGCTTGACTTCAGCTCCAGTGCCATGCTTTTCCCTTCAGATTGTTTTTTCATTTCCAGTCATCTCTATGGCTGTGAACTCTCATTTGCTTATTAGGCTGGCAACTTCCTTTTCTTTTTTCCTTTCAGTCTTTTCGTACTTGCCATACTTTTATTAATCCTTTATTTTTGTTTAGTTTCACTTTTTAGCCCTTTGGCCTTTTCCTTATTATCTATTGTCTATTAACTATTTATTTAGAAGACTTCAGTATTCACCAACATTTCAAGACATTTTGTAATAGAAGAGTTTTCAAGTTATTCATCTGTTGTATTGCTATGATCCCTTCATCTTGTTTTCTTCATACCCTCACACTTGGTTTCTTCTCATGAAACTTGGTGAATTTTTTTCTCTTCAACTTTCTCTCAGGTCATCCTTTCTTGAGTCCCTTCTACAACCAGAATCTTTAAGATTGAATTGGTTGCTTTTGGCAGTGTCCCATGATGCTCCACCCAGCACAAGCACGATGGATGATGAAGGACATCCCAGGTACAGAAGGATTGCCAATAAATTTCTAGATATAACTTGATGAAGATTTTTCTAATATTTATTTGCAGAATTAAACACGGATACTTTTATCAGATACATGTTTTTCTTCAAAAGTCTGTCTTATTTGTTGTATGTCTAGGCAAAAGGTCTAGATGGATAGTATATGCAAGTCATAGGATTATGGACTTCTTTTTCCTTCTTTTTGGTTCTAGGATTGAACCCAGGGCCTCCTGCAAGCACGCAAATACCAAGCCATAGTCCTATTCCTAAATTTCTGTTTTTTTTTTAAATGAATACATTATAGGAAAAGTTGCTATTTCCAATTTTGCAAAAGCCAAAAATAAATGTTAGAAAAATAGAATAATGGACTAATTAAACTAATTAAACCAGTCTTGCCTGTCAGATGACTAAAAAAACTCTCTGGTTTACTGACACTTTCTCCTTTCACAGGCCTCACTCACACTTGTTTTCCTGGGGCTACAGTCAACTGATTCTTCATCTAGTGAAACTTCCTGCAGATTTTACAACCAAAGAGAAAATGACTGACATCTGCAAGTCTTATGGGTAAGTGAGAACTTCCACAAACGCTGACGTTAATATCAGAGTCATTTCAGTGGATAATGTTGTGGTGAAGGGCCCGAATTGATTTGCTTCATTACCTAAGAATTCCATTTGCTAAAAGTACAGTATGTGATAGTAGACATCTTTTCCTTTTATTTTTGTGGGTGTAGGAGAAACTATATCTTGCTAGTTCTTTTCTACTCCCTCTGCTTTACTTGCTAGCCCCAGTTCTCAGGCATGTAGATAATGTTTCATTAAGCACTAGCACCGGATTATGTGACCAGTTACAATTTATGAAGATTTCAAGAAGGGAGAGATGTGAATAGCCTCAGTAGAGTCCCTGGTGAAGGACTCAGGGGGAAGGTGAGATTTAGGAGGCAAGTCCTTTGAGGACTGGTGGGATCTGCATCTGTGAAGCAAATCTGCAAAGGAGGATTGTGGGTACAGTGAGAGGAACAGTAAGAATAATGACATTGTTTGTTTCTTCTTGCTTGGTGATGTCTTACAACATCACCTGGCTTATAATTTTTCAGGGACCTTTGTCTTTCTTTTCCCTCATTTTGCCTAATTCATGCAGTGACAAGTACTTTTTGTGTATTTGTTATTGGACAATAAAGGGTGGAACTAGGAGGTGATGTGTGGTAAATCAAGAGGGACCTTGAAAGGTGCTCAGAAGAATTTAGTTACCAGTACAGACCCGTTTGTACTTTTTGGTACAAAGATGTCAAGATGTCTTAATGGAACTAGAACTTCCTGGAGATCGTTTCTGGTATCATAATTGAGGAAGACTAGAGAAAAATGCCTCTAGGAAGCTGTTGTTCATTCAAGATGGGTGATTAGGATGGTGGCAAAAGAGCACATCCAAGGGACATTTTGAAAGAAAATGAGTGAAACTTGTTGATACAGCAAATGAAGGAAAGGAAAGATGGAGAATTCAAGGTTTGCATATTTGGGGAAGTATGCTATTTTTGTATTGAAGCTTAAAGTTTACCGTGTGTGTGTGTGTGTGTGTGTGTAAAGCTTAAACACTCATAATTGCTGCTTGGATCCAAATATCTCTGGCTTTTGTATTTTATAAAAGCTCAGGTTTAAAAAAAATTACACTAGATCAGCTATACATAAGATGTTTGAAATACAAATATGTCAGTTGAAAATCTGACTTAAAAATTATGTTTACCATCACCTGATATGGAAAAAATAACTTGTATTGTCAAAGCTCATAGAATTCACAAACTGTATAGACCATGAAAATGACAGTTTGCCTTGTGAAGATTAAAATGTGTTTGTGACTTTAAGTATCACTATTCCCCAATACTGTGAAATCTTGAAATTTATATAATACCCAATCTCTATTAAAGAAAAAAAGTGAGAAGGGATGGGTTAGGAGAGATGGGTGACAATGTTATTAGATACTTTGTACTTGTATACTGTTTTGTAGAATGGGAACTTCTTTGTACAACTACTTAAAGACAATAAAAAAAATTATGTTTACTTTTAAATAAATAGCCACACGTGGCTAGCATCTACTGTGTTAGTGTGCTTCTGGGTAAACTCACTGCCTCTGATTACTTTCTTCAACTTGATCTCTTCAAAGTTTCTGGCCTGGATATCTTACTCTCTGTTTGGAGCTGGAGAGGAGAAGAGAGGCCTTCACCAACCTTGTGTATCTGAATGATATGAGCCTGATGGAAGGAGACAATGGTGTGTAAATCTCAACTGGTTGGTTACTCTTGGCTGGAGTATTTTACAAGTCTCTCCATATTTTTGAATAAAGAAATCTGGTGAACATTTCAAGAATTACACACACACACACACACACACACACACAATTCTAACTAGTTGTCCATGTTGTGGGTTTTAAACATCTGTACCTTTGAATATATTATGCATTTTTTCTATTTAATGAACACCTACTACATTTTGAGTAATAATATATGATGTAATATACTTTATGTTTTCCATATGCTTTTTTATTTATTTTTTGTTCTTGTTATTGAACTTGAGATTGAACCTAGGGCCTCGCAGCACTTTCACTTAATCAAAGCCCTTTTTTGGGGTTGGGGTACCAGTACTTAGGTGTGAGTCACTGGCACCAGCTTCATTTTGAGCTAGAATCTTTTAAAGTTTGCCTAGACTTGGTGATACTCCTGTCTCCCTGGGATTACAAGTGAGTACTCCCATGTCTTGTTGGCCCAGATGCTGTCTACACGTACTGTTTTAAAAGAAATAATAAACTCTTGGGGTATTTGCTGTTATTTTCACCGTCCAGAACTTCCAGATGTTATGATTGAGGCAGAGAGAGGACAACTAGTAAATGTTGGACCTGGTGTTCAGACCAGGCCTATCTTAAAACTTTTTTTTAAGTGCCAGTCCTGGGGCTTGGTCATTGTCCCTGAGCTTTTTTTCCTCAAGGCTAGCACTCTACCACTTAAACCATAACTCCACTTCCAGCTTTGGTTTTGCTTTTTGTTGTTTTGTTTTGGTAGTTAATTGGAGGTAAAAAGTCTCGTGGACTTCCTTTCTCTGGCTGGTTTTGAATTGCTCTCCTTAGATCTGAGCATCCTGAGGATTAGTCTTGAGCCACTGGCATCCAATTTCAAAGTTTTGCTTTAATTTAGGTTTTTTTTTCCTTCTGAATCTTAATTGCCTAACCATGCAGTGAAAAAGTAGAGCTTAGAGCGCAGGTTGTAGAACATTTGCCTAGCATGCACAGATTTTGAGTTAAATCCCTAGCTTTGGGGAAAAAAAAAGGTAGAGCTTATTAACATGAATAGCACTCACATTCCCTAAAACTCTCTCTGGAATTTTACTTTTTATTTAGTTTATCTTTTAACATGTTCTGATGATAGCCAGAAGGCCAGGAGACCTGATTTTTGTTGTTGTTGTTGTTAGCTGTGGGGCTTGAACTCTGGGCCTGAGTGCTGTCCCTCAGCTCTTCAGCTCAAGGCTAGCACTCTACCACTTGAGCTACAGTGCCACTTCTGGTTTTCTGGTGGTTTATTGGAGATAAGAGTTTCATGGAGGGGCTGGGAAGTTGGCTCAGTGGTAGAGCACTTGCCTTGCTTCCTGAGGCCCTGGGTTTGATTCCTCAGCACCACATAAGAAAAAAGCCGGAAGTGGTGCTGTGGCTCAAGTGGTAGAGCGCTAGCCTTGAGCTGAAGAACTGAGGGACAGCGCCCAGGCCCAGAGTTCAGGCCCCACGACCAGACCAAAAAAAAAAAGTTTCATGGACTTTCCTGCCCGGGCTGGCTTTGAACCGTGATAGGCGTGAGCCACCAGTGCCTGGCTGAGACCTGATATTTGAAGGCAGTCCATCTTGCATTTAGAAAGATAGATATGGCCATTTTTGTGTATTTATCTCAGTGAAGAGACTCAAATACTTTACCCAGAGGCATATAAAATCCTTTACTATAGCCTTTTTTATGTCTGTTGGCATAGAACAAGGCATAGGTTAGGACAGAATCCAGAAGCCAGCTGACTAGCCAGCTTTAGCTATAGACATCACAACTCCAGTTGCAATTACTTAGATCATCTTGGAGTCAGCCAGATTTACAGGGCTCGAACTATAAATACATGCTTTAGACAAAAAACAGAGACGTTAAGATGCAAATGAATGGTTTGTTTTTAAACATAATATTTTTATTACTAGAAAATGGAAAATTCAGGAAGCATGAAGAAAATAAGTATCACTTAAAATCCTCCTCTCCCAGATGAAAGTACTTCTATTTTTGAGCATAATGGTGCCAAAGTTGAGTTGTTCTTAGCTTTGTTTTATTCAGTAGGGTTTTTCTCTTTGATACGGCTCCCTTCCCAAGACGTCTATCAATCACTGTGCAGGCATGTATCTTGTATTGCCCAATGTCTTATCTCCATCAACTTCTTTGTCTATACTATCACCACTTGTCTACTATCTATCTGTCTCAAACTATCTATCTGGCTTCCATTTGTGCCCACTTTGAACCGATTTGGCTTCCCTCTTGTAATTGTTTTGCACTGAACTCACAATGGAGTTCATATTCCTAAGTGTGTCCTCCAGGCCTGGCCCTACCATCTCATCCTCACTACTGCCTTTGTGCTCTCAGGTAATTTCTTGATTTCAAGTTCTTTCCTGTGTCACAAATGCAGATCCCTTCCCCTCCATTCCTTGTACCTGCTCCAAGTTTGTGCCTTCTATAGACCGCATGCATGTGTCCTCTAAGCTTGTCTCATCTTTCAGCTTTTGGCTTAAATGTCACTCATAGGGTTTTTCTCTCTGATGATTCCTTGTCCTTTTCCTTCATAGTACTTAGCACTGAGATGAGTATGTATTCATTTATACGGTTAAGTTCTGTCTTTACTGGAGTATACTCAGTGCCAAGATTAGGGATTGTGCCCATTTTGTTTTATTGCCTATCCAGGCATTTTGAAGCAAATTTTGAATTGTTTATTTGACAGATGTTTACAAATATTTTACCAGTGTTAATGCAAATATACCATTGTATTTAGTGCATTTATGTTTTAGTATTAAACATTTTCACAGTTTTGACCATATCCTCTATGCAGACAGTATGCTGGAAGTGAGCAGAGCCAATATTTTTTCTATGTGTTTATAGGTTGGATCCCAGAAACTATAGAGGAATGGAAGCTTCTCCTACATCTCATACAGAACAGGAGCACAGGACCAGTTCCACAAGAGTCACTAAATGGGACCTTCAGTGATGGGCCTGCCCCCATCACCATGGAGAATGTGGCGCTCTTGTTAGCAAAGGCCATGGGCCCTGATCGGGCCTGGTCACTGCTACAGGAATGTGGTCTGGCCCTTGAGTTGTCAGAGAAGTTTACCAGAACCTGTGATATCCTGAGGATTGCTGAGAAAAGGCAGAGGTAATGCTATTCTGTCATGCTCTCCCCATGGTGCTTGGAGAATGTAGAAGCCACAGATAGTTTTATGTTCAGTCTCCTTTCCACAGAGATGGAATTTGTATGTGTGTGTGTGTGTGTGTGTGTGTGTGTGTGTGTGTGTGTGTGTCAGATCTGGGCTTGAATTTAAGACCTGTGCTCTGTCTCTGAGCTTTTTTACCCAAGACTCACTCTTTACCACTTGAACCACAGCTTCACTTCTAGCTTTTTTAGGGGTTAACTGGAGATAACAGTCTCACAGACATTTTTGCCTGGGCTGACTTTGAATGGTGATCCTTGACTCTCAGCCTCCTGAATAGTTAGGATTACAATCACTGGTACCTGGCTTAGGATGGAGTCTTCCAGGCTTTTCTGCCATATCCTGACACCATGTCCAATCTCAGCCTCCTATGTAGCTTGGGATGATAGACTCATGTCACTGTGCCCAGCCATGGGTCAAAAAGGTGATCTTATGAACTATCTAGGCTGGTCTCAAACCATGATCCCCCTGTTTTCAGCCTTCCAAGTAGCTAGGGTTTATAAGCATGAGCCGCTGGTCCTTCCCTAGAATTTCTTTCCTTTTTATCTTTGAATAATACCCCATTACATTCATCTATCTGCCAAAGATCATGTGGTTGATTCTACTTTGTGGCTATTATATATAATGCTGCTATGAAAATGAATGTACACATATCTCTGTAAGACCCTGCTTTCATTTCATTTGAAATATACCCAAAAGAAGAGATTCCATGCTGTTTTCCATAATGGCTGTGTTACTTTACATTTCTACCAACAGTTCACAATGATTCACATTTCTCTCTGTCTTAGCTAACTCATGTCATATACATGTGTATATATGAGGGTGTATTTAAAATAGTAGCTATCCTAATCCTATTGTATGCAAGGTACTATCTCATTGTGGTGATGATTTACGTTTTCCTAGTGATCAGTCATCTTGAACATCTCTCATATGTTCCTTGGCCATTTGCCATTTTGAGAATAATTAAGTCCTTTGCCAATTTCAAATTCAGGTTATTTGTTCTTTTTTTGTTGTTGAATTTCCTTATATTCTAGATGCTAACACTTATCAGATATGATTTGTAACTATTCTCTCCTATTCCAGAGGTTACCTTCTCATTTAGTTGATTTCAGCTTGAGTCTTCTAATGAGAAAGATCAACCTTCTGAATCTTCTAAGTGTAGATTTGAGTTTTTTTTTGTGATCAATAATTAAAGATAAATTTGTGTGTTTCTTTTCTTTGTGATTCCAGAGCCTTGATACAAAGCATGCTTGAAAAATGTGATCGGTTTCTCTGGTCTCAGCAGGCCTAATGGAGGATTTGGCAGATTGTGATAATGTTTTGGAAAACAAAAACAAAAAAAAGCAAAAAATCATGCTTCTGAACCTTCTGAGTGCATTTGTTACTGAAGGAAAGGTATCACTCCCAAACCCTGTCAAATTGTGGGGGCTACGCTTGTTAGTGTCTATATTGTGACATTTGTGGCTCTGTGACCTAAGTGTTTCTCAACCAAAGTTTATAGCTGCATAGTATTTATTCTAATATATGATAATATTTGCTCATTGCTAGTGATTTGGGGGGAATTACTTTCTATTATGATCCTGTGTTGGGACCAGAAGAAGCTCTTTGTTAAATGAAGATAATGTTATTAACCAGAGTTGTGTTCTCTTATATCTTGTCTAAGGCAGTCTAGAAATTACTAAAACAGATAGGGCCTAGAATAATGGAATTGTCACATCTAACAAAATACTGGAGATTCTTTAGATATTTAAATAAAATTGCCCATAGCTATATTGAGCTAATTTATTTTTCCTCAGTATTTATTTGACATTTTCTAATCTGAACCTATACATAGTGGACTGATTTATTACTGGAAATATGTTTTTGTAATCTTTCCTAAACAGAGTACCTGAAGAGAACCATGCTCTTTGTGTGTGTGTGTGTGTGTGTGTGTGTGTGTGTGTGTGCACGTGTGCACGTGTGCACATGCATGCGGTGGTACTAGGGCTTGAACTCAGAGCCTCAAACTCTTGCTCAGCTTTTTTGCTCACAGCCATGCCTCCTCTTCCAGCTTTTTGCTGGTTCATTAGAGATGGAATCTCACAGGCTTCTGCTTGGACTGGCTTTCTTGAACCATAATTCTCAGATCTCAGTTTCCTAACTAGCTAAGATTACAGGCATGAGCCACAGGTGCCTGGTTGTTCATGCACTTTTAAAATTATTTTTAAAAAGCCATACTATAAGAAAACTAAATACTAATAAAAGCTGTAACAAGTGCTTGTGTTATTTAAGTTTTGTAACTATGTTGTCATTTGTCAAACTCCTGTAACATAGATATGTTATATTAGTAATAAATGTAAAAGCTGATGAATAGATCATAGTCGTGAGCTTTATTTCTGAGCAACTTGCAGGAAAATTTGGGTAAACCCTGGAATAAAGTGTTGAATGCATTAAATGAGCCAACTCTTTCCATTTATAACATGGATGTAAATTACTATCATACATGATACCTGAATGTTACCTGACTAGGCATATTGATGAGGTTGTCAGGGAAAGGAGCCTTCACCAAGTTAATGAGAACTTTGAGAAGTGTGGGAAAATCTTCCCATTAACATTGCCTGGGCTTTGACTATACTTGTTATGTTTGATGTGCATTTGTAGCAAGATACAGGCCTTCACTATCAGCCTTATTCAGACACAGTGGCTAAGAGGGCCCAAGGAAATCACATGGTAAGCAGGAAATACTGTATAATCATTTCCCTGAAGTTCTTCCTGGGGCACGCTGAAGCAGTCCTCCCTTACCAGAGAGTATACACAGAAAGAGATGGCATAACAAACACAAACCACATCACCTGAATTCATCTATCAAGGCAAACAAAAAATGCACATCAATGTAAACTTGAGCTGGGGTGCATGACATGGTAATTCTCCCCTCTGAAAGTGCCTTTAGCCTATACTTTCACTATTCTTCATCTTATCTCAAAGCTTTCATGAGATGAGATCCTGTGCTAACAGTCCCATTGGGAATATAGCTGGAGTTCCTGCAAACTCCCTGGGAACCCACCCATGCGGGGCAGCCATAAAAGACTGATGAGCTCCCTGGAAGGCTTGGACCACTTCTGAATTTCCAGGAAATCTGGCTGTACCACATCCTTGGTAGCACTAAAACTCCCTAGGGTGAGTCACTGGGTGTCTTTCACAGGAAGCAAGAGAAGGCTGACACATGGGACTAGGAAGTCTTTATATCCTACTTGTTTCTCCTGTGCTCTCTACTGACTGACAAAAGATTCATATGCACATTAATATGGGGAGCAGCTCCCTTCCTACCCTCCAGAGCCATTTGGATATCTATAGCATCATTGGTAGGCCATAGGAAATGATCAGTACAGGTGAGGGAAGCTGATAGCACATATGCCTGTCTTGCACCAAATAATTTTGTGTGCCATAATAAGGACCAGTCATTCTCCATCTCTTATGGCGCTCAAAGAAATGGATAACTGATACACCTTCCTAAGGCCTCAATTCTTTGTGGGGAATGGACAAATGTTAGTCCCATTACTGTCAAAAAGGCTGGAAACATACAGGAAGAAGGCTACCCAAGAAAAGGAGCCAGACCATGGGCAGGAACTAGAAAGAAGGGAGAAAGAAAACAGAAATATTCATGGACAGTTCAGTCACCCTCTTATGTGATTTGTGAGGTAGGACCTTTCACAGCAGTTTCAGGCCTTCCTTCCCAGAGCAAACAGCTCAGCTTCACCTGGGAATGAGATTGTTCTTCTCTGAGTAACTGACAATATTCCTAACCCTTGTAACCTGTTTTAAACTCCTATCCAGCCTGCCACATTGGGCCACACAACCTGAGACAATGATTCAACCTGAAGGAAGGCAGTATGCCTATAACAATAGCCACTGAGTATGGCCCATCTCCCATTTCTGCTCAAGAACCTGTGGCTTTTAATGAACATTGCAGAAGTTTCTAGAACATGCGACAGACCACTAGATACATCTGAGAAGTGTGAACCAAAAGGAAAAGAGGAGAGAGCTAGCACAGCATCAGTTCAATCACAGCCTTTGGAAAGCTGGATTTATTGTTTTATTATCATATGCAGGATGTTGTTTCTTCAGAAATCTGGAGTGCTCCAGACTTGATGGCAGGATTGCTTTAGGACAGAGATATGTACTTTCCTATATATCCACCCGGGGGCAGCACAGCAACGCGGTGAACCTGTACTATGTTTATAGGATCAATGAAAAAAAGTGTTTTGCTCTCTCTCTCTCCCTCTCCCTCCTCCCCCCCCCCTTGGCTCTCTCTCTTCCTCTTCTCCTTCCTTCCCTCTCTCCCTTTTCCCCCTATACCCTCTCCCTCTCCTGTCTTTCCTCTCGTCTTGGACATTGTCTCTGAGCTGTTTTGCTTAAGGCTATCACTTGAGCCACAGCTCTACTTCAGCATTTTGGTTGTTAATTGAAGATAAGGGTCTAACAAGTTTCTTGCTTGGGTTGGCTTTGAACTATAACCCTCAGAGTTGTAGGTGTGAGCCACTAGCACCCAACTGATATGTAAACTTTTTCTTTTCTTTCTTTTTTTTTTTTTGGTCAGTCATAGGGCTTGAACTCTGGCCCTGGGTGCTGTCCCTCAGCTCTTCAGCTCAAGGCGAGCACTCTATCACTTGAGCCACAGCGCCACTTCTGGTTTTCTGGTCATTTATTCGAGATGAGTCTCATGGAGGCGGGGCAGTGGGGAGAGATGGGGAGGGATGGGAAGGGGAAACAAAGAGGAGGCAACAATGCTTGATAAGAAATGTACTCATTACCTTGTTCATGTAAATATAACCCCTCTGTATGGTATTTTCACAATAAAAAAGTGAAAAAAAAAGTCTCATGGATTTTCCTGCCTGGGCTGGCTTTGAACCATGATCCTCAGATCTCAGCCTCCTGAGTAGCTAGGATTACAGGTGTGAGCCACTGGCACCTGGCTGAACTTTTTTTTTAGTTAAAAGGTGCCTATATAGTTTATTTTTTAATAATTTATAAGTATAAATATACATGAAAGATAACAGCAATATATATGTATGTATATAATGAGTAATGTGAGCTTTTCACATGTTGGTGAGTGCACACTCACAAAGGACAGAAACACACAGAAACTGCAAAATAAAAAAGTTCCAGGGGCTGGGAAGGTGGCTCAGTGGTAGAGCGCTTGCCTTGCATGCTCGAGGCCCTGGGTTCGATTCCTCAGCACCACATAAGCAAAAAAAAAAGCCGGAAGTAGTGCTGTGGCTCAAGAGGTAGAGCGCTAGCCTTGAGCTGAAGAGCTGAGGGACAGCGCCCAGGCCCAGAGTTCAGGCCCCACGACCGTACCCCCCCCAAAAAAAAAGTTCCATATGATAGCTTCATGACAATCAGTTTCATATTTATTAATTTGTCATGTTAATGGCTGTAAAGAAGTTCCTGGTGTCATATATATATATATATATATATATGATTTATATAAAGTTTATATAAATTTTAGTATCTAGATTTTAATGCACATAAACAGGATTCTGAATTAAACACCCAGACATCTTCCTGCCAAACTCCTTTTGTGTAAAAGTGTCACTGGCTGTGTGTGACACACCACTGAACACATGCTGTCTGTCGGGTGGGATAGGGGCCCAGCTGGGACCTCTCTCTATCAGTTCAGAGTCATAGGCCACTGTGTCTTGGGGCTTTGTGGGGGAAATGGAAGCTGAGTGTAACAAGAAGTGGAGACTTTTCACTGTTACAAATGAAAAGGCTCCCTACCATTGCAAGATGCATGGAAAGGGTGACTTAAGGGTTGGAAGTGTGGGAACTGAAGGTATCAGGAGGACTTCAATCAGATGACCCTCTCCTGTGGGCGGAGGGGGAGGAACATCCCCATGCACACCAGGGTTCAGAGCAACCCTGATGATGTCCAAAGGCAGAGAACTACAACCACCAGCCCAGGCAAGAGAGCAGCTTCCACGCACGGCTTTTGCTTCAAACTTAGGGCATTGCCACATGCCCAAGTCTCATGTAAAAATTTTAAAGTAGAGAAATCCATGAGAGTTGGCAACTTGTAACAGAATTCTGCTCTATTTTACACAAATTTCAGTGAAGCTTGTTTTTGAACATTTTCTAAAACTACAAAATATTTTTTGAAAAATTCAAAACATCCATTCACTTATTGCAAATAGTCAAAGTAGAAAAAGGAGGAATATGTTTCTTTATGTTAAAAAAAATAGGAACTGATGGCTCACACTTGTAATTGTAGCTACTTGGGAGGCTACGATCTAAAGATCATGGTTCAAAGCCAGCCTTGGCAGAAAGCCAGTGAAACTAAATCTCTAACCACCAGGAAACCAGAAGTGGTGTTTGTAGCTTAAAGTTATAAAGTAATAGAGCTCAGGGATAGGGCTGAGGCCCTGAATTCAAGCCCCATGACCCTCCCTCAATTATATTACACCCAACGAACAAACTGGACTTAACATTTCATTTAAGAAAATTCAACATGATCAGTTTTTGAAAAAAAAAACCATATGGCAATCATACTGAAGGAAGTTTAATGTTTGAGGATTATATGGTTTATAATCAAACTGTAGAACAATCTTCAGGAAAGCTAGAATGCAAAGTACTGAGATCAATTTCAGTATCATCAATGTCCTTACCTCCAGGCCCAATTATATCAGCTTCATGGTTTTTAGGATATTGTGGGTGCTCACTATGTGCCTTCAGACTTCTGCAT